AGGGGAGAGACCACAAAAACAAATACAGTGTTGGGGGAGGGTGGCGAGCAACCACTCATGATTTGCTCTAACTCAGAAGCCCAAAAGGTATCATCTAAAAGGTCACTTGCAAATGATTCCTATATAATGCAGTATACGTCTACAATCTACTACACTGTAGTATCCAAAGAACAGTTATTATAACACTGGCTTTAGCTTTCTTGGTACTCATCATTAAATCAATTTCCTATACTCAGCTTAAAATGCACATTGGATTGGTTCAGAAGTTGAACAAATCAGGAAAAAAAAAAAGAAAAAAAGAAGCACATTGGGTTCAATATTACACTACATACAAATTCTTCACATATCATAGAGTAATAATTGAACATTTTTCTGAGCTATAAAGAGAAACCAGGGAAATATTTCCCACATAAATTTAGCTCTCTATTATCCCTGACCTAAAGCCCAAAAAATCCAATGAGAAGATGGGTTATAAACGCTTAAGAATCCTGTATATGGGCTGGGCACGGTGGCTCAGGCCTGTAATCCCACCACTTTGGGAGGCCAAGGCAGGTGGATCACCTGAGGTTAGGAGTTCGAGACCAGCCTGACCAATAGGTGAAACCCCGTCTCTACTAAACACAAAAAATTAGTGGGCTGTGGTGGTGTGCACCTGTAAGCCCAGCTATGTGGGAGGTTGAGGCAGGAGAATCACTTGAACCCAGGAGGTGGAGGTTGCAGTGAGCCAAGATGGCACCATTGCACTTCAGTCTGGGCAACAAGAGTGAAACTCTGTCTTGGAAAAAAAAAAAAAGAATTCTGTATGTGCATTTTTCCATTCTCCTAGCTCTTCAGGATGTTGCATGGAGCTATCAAGGAATAAAAAGATGATTTCCTTATAGGACATACTTTCAGAAACAAAGGCATTAATATAAACAAACTAAAAAGAACTGGGCTATACAAATCTGAAAAAAAAATGAATAAAATCAAAATAATCTGAAATATATTAAGGCATTGCTATGTACCACATACTGTTATTAATTCCCACACTATCCTCTGAGGTTGATACTGTACAATCACTAGATTGGAAGCTCTCTGAAGGCAGGTATTATGTATTTTGTTCATCAATGGAGAATCTACACTTTGTTCAGACAGTCCCTGCTATATGACAGATGCACAGTAAGATATTTGCTGAATGAATTAATAATCTCCATTTGAAAAAGGAGGTAGCTCAGGCTTAGAGAAGATAAACAATTAGCCAAAGATACATGATGTCAGAATCTATATTCCAACATATTTGTGTTCATTTTCTTTTTCTTTTTTTTTTTTTTTTTTTTTTTTTTTTTTTTTTTTTTTTTGAGGCAGGGTTTTGCTCTTGTTGCCCAGGCTGGAGTGCAGTGGCATGATCTGGGCTCACCGAAACCTCCGCCTCCTGGGTTCAAATGATTCTCCTGCCTCAGCCTCCCAAATAGCCAGGATTACAGGTATGCACCACCACACCTGGCTAATTTTGTATTTTTAGTAGAGATGGCATTTTTCCATGTTGGTCAGGCTGGTCTCAAACTCCCAGCCTCAGGTGATCCACCTGCCTCGGCCTCCCAAAGTGCTGGGAGTACAAGTGGGAGCCACCTCGCCCAGCCTCATTATCTTTTTTTTTTTTTTTTTTAACTAGAGAATCTTTATGGAGCAGTGGGGAGTTGTTATTGGTACGGTTAATCTTCTTGCTCTTTCCTTCTCTGAATGAAGATGAAGTTGCTGAATTGCAATGAAAGGGCCAAATTCAGAAAGTCAAAGGAAAGAATAGGAGTCCAATAAAGCAAAATGTTCTTATTTTTTATCCAGCATAGTTCTTCCAGACTGTAGCTTAGCAAACAGGTATCTGAAGTTTCTAAGAGGGGTGATAGCCTGTTTTAATTAACAGTTAACTATTCACCATGCTGTGCTATTGTGATATAATCAGAAATACATTAGTTGTTCTCTGCTTGCAGTTTCTGGCACAGAGCTCCTAAAAACCCTTGTAATTTCCTGTGCAACAGGGGTGCTAGATACATCTTTGGGTTTAATATTTGATCTCTGATCTGGGTTCCTGACACAGAACTCCTAATTCCTTGGACAATGAGAGTGCCTTTGTTCTAATGAGACAACACCTGGTGAGTTCTTGAATGGGAGAAATTGCCAGAAGGACCAAACTATGGCTAAAAGCTTGGATGTTCAGTTCCAACCCCGAAAAGAATGAATGAGGTAATAATTGCTCATGCCCACATGATGAAGCCTTCATTAAAAACCACTGAACTACGGGGTTTGAAGAGCTCTCGGCTTACTGAGCATACAGACCGGTCTGGAGGGTAGCACATCGAGGCAGGGCATGGAAACTCTGCCCCCTCCCCTTCACCTACACCTCATCCTGTATATCTCTTCATCTGGCTGTTAACCTGTATCTTTCCTAACTTCCTTTATGAATAAATATAAGTAAGTTGTTTCCCTGACTTCTGTGAGCCATGCTAGGAAATTAATCAAACCTGAGTAGGGGCTCATGGGAACTCCCAATTTAGAGCTGGTTGATCAGAAGTTCAGGTCATAACCTGGGATTGCAAATGGTCTCTAAAATGGTGGGAGACAGTGTTGTGGGACTGAATCCTGAACTTGTGGGGTCTAACACTATCTCCAGGCAGCTAGTGTCAGAATTGAATTGAATCGTGGGACACTCAGTTGGTGTCAGCTGGAGAATTCCTTGGTATGTGGGGGACAGTCATCACACATTTGATGTTAGTTGATGTTCTGCAATCTAAGAAAAGGAAAACTCTTTACCTCTTACAACTCTTTACCTCTTAGTTCTGAAACACAACTAACAACCAAAAGAATTGAGACAAGTTACAGTAGGTCTTCCTAGTCCAGTGCTTGCTGCCACACACATAGTGCTGAATTTTGTGTCTGACCTTTAAACACTCTCATTACTCTGCAGCCACAGCCCATTTGTTACCATTATCAAATAAAATGTCAGACAGAGAAATAAAATACCAGTGCTGCTGTTGGTCTGGATACCATAGGACATTCCATCTTCAGTCTTAATAAGGTAGAGAGAATGGAATGAGAATCTTCATATTCCAAATAATAGCCTTTGGAGTTTTTCCATATACCAAGCAAGACAGGGGATCTATGTCTAGATATGCATAACACAGCAGAGTAACTTAATATACACAATTCTCTAAAGACTAGAGCATCAAAAATCAGGAATCTCCTGAATCTAAACAAACTGAGCTGGTTAAAGAAGTCCCATGAGGAGCACGGTGTACCTCAGTGGCTGTAACACAGGCCTTGGAGTCTGGCAAGCCTGAATTCTTAACCAAACTTAGTCACTTAGTTCTGCAATATTAGGTATGTTACTTACCCAGTTTCTAATCCATAAAATGGAGATAATAAGAGTTGTTACCATAAAGCATTCTTAAGAATACTGAATACAAATATGTACAATGCATAGGTGCAGTGCTAGTAATAATTGAGTACATTGGCTCTTACTTTCATCATTTTTACCACCGCCATCTCCTTTGTCTCACCTCTGAGGAAGTCTCTAAACATAAGCCAAAGGAAATAGACTGAAGCAATGAATGAATAATACTGGTTAACACATAAGGTCATCTTTGACTTTATTTATGTAATGATCATGCTAGTCAGTGTTACTACCCAATGTGGGTCCCATTCATGATGCTATATTATAAAAGAACAAGAAAAGAAAAGTAACCCCGGAAGTGACTTCTTTTCAGAAACAGGTTTTAAGTGGGGAGAAGCAACCGGGGTTTGGGAGAAAGAGTTGATCGTGATGGTCTTTCTGTTGCACCTGGCCAGCTGTAGCAGTAGTTATTACTAGGCAAGTAAAATTACAGATGACTGTAAATTCTGAGTCAGAGTCTGAAGAGGAAATCATACAATGCAAAATCAGTAAGCCTTCATTTCAAGTAAGCAGTCTAACGCTTGATGTCTCCATGATTTAGCTCCCCTAAACGTCCTAGAGTTGGAACATTTTATCAAATAGGCCTTAAAGCACAATGGCTTACAAAGAGCTACAAGTGAAACTGCCTGCCATTGAATCCTAATGCCATCATTTACTTTGTGATCTCACCAGTAAAAGAGGTTGTTCTGTTTGGTACCAGGTATATGTTAGCTGTTACTGTCATCATCATCATCATTATTACTGCATTTCTCATTGTGTAGTATAAATATATTTTCATGTCTGTTTTCTTCCCCTAGGCTGTGAGCTATCCTAATGAAGGAACTTGGATGTATTCATCTCTTTTTCCGTCTCCAGTCCTAATAGACACTCAAAAGTGTTAGCTGAAAGAATGGGTGAATGAACAAGGAAATGAGTATCAAACTAAGATACACTCAGAACAGATACCTTGAGTTTAAGTGTAGAAGAATAAGAATACCCTTTTCAGATTATTAATGAAATCATCTGGAGCAATTAAAAGAGGATCAGTCATCTTCTTAGTTTCTCTTCTGTCTATTCAATTCCTAAAGAAAGAACCTATGCAGCGTTAACCCACATCCTGAACTTTACAGACATTAACTATTATTTTTTTGAGATTTCACAGGCTCTTGTTGGCTCTAACATTTTCCCCCTTACCCCCTAAAAAACCCCTGAAAAACAACAACAGTTACACTTATGGTAAATTCAAAACCCAAAGATAATTTTGAGAAATACTAACAAGATGAGGTTACCATACAACCAAATTAATTTTGAATATTTTAAAATTGATATTAAAAACAAGCCCTATGATTTTAATATGTTTCCATGATATTTTACTTAAGAACTTCTAAAATATTCTGTGAGATTAGTCTCTACTCAACAGCAAATAACATTTGCAAGCAATAATTTGATTTCTGTTCTTGCTTCAAAAAATGATTTTAAATAGCTGAAGGAAACATAATTTGACATCATTTTCCTTTCCCCTCATTTTCCTGTAGAACATCCACTGCACCCATCCACTTCACCAAAAGAGAAATTAGAAACATATGCTTCTCACCTCTAAGAGCTCATCTCCAACATGCATTCGCCCATCTGTTGCAGCAGGTCCTCCCGGGTTAATTCCCACCACAAATATGCTCATGCGTGATCTGTCTTTATTGCCAGCAAGGCTGAGTCCAAGTCCATTCTTATCCTTTTCAAGTTCAATAATGTGCAGTTCTCCAGGCAGATCTGCATATCTTTGTCTGATTTTTTCTATTAAAAGAATGTTTTAAAAATTAAATAGAGTAGCTGGATCTGTCTTATTGAGATGTCAGCATTTCCCCACCCTCATTGTGATTTCTCAACCATGGTATCTTTTTTTTTTTTTTTTTTTAAGATGGAGTTCCACTCTTGTTGCCCAGGACCGAGTACAATGGCACGTTCTTGGCTCACTGCAACCTCCTCCTCTCAGGTTCAAGTGATTCTCCTGCCTCAGCCTCCTGAGTAGCTGGGATTACAGGTGTCCACCACTATGCCCAGCTAATTTTTTTTTTTTTTTTTTTTTTCAGTAGAGACAGGGTTTCACCATGTTGGCCAGGCTGGTCTCAAACTCCTGACCTCAGGTGATCCGGCTGCCTCAGCCTCCCAAAATGCTGAGATTACAGGCGTGAGCACCGCGCCTGGCCCTAGGCTGGAGTGTAGTGCTGTGATCCCGGCTCACTGCAACTTCCACCTTCCATGTTCAAGCGATTCTCCTGTCTCAGCCTCCCTAGTAGCTGGGATTACAGGCGCCCACCACCACACCTGGCTAATTTTTGTATTTTTAGTAGAGATGGGGTTTCACCATGTTGGCCAGGCTGGCCTCAATATCCAATCGCCTCAGCCTTGCAGATTTTACAGGCATGAGTCATGGCGCCTGGCCTGACCCCTCTTGGAACTCTAAATGCTCATTCTAATGCTTCACTTATATTACATTTGCTGTCCTTAGGAGGGAATCTTGCAAATTAAAAGCTCAAGTCAAATCATCCATCTTAAGGTAGAGTAGGGAACAAGACAGCCCAGTCCACTCCATCACTTTACCAGACTTTACAAACACTGCTTTATAAGTGAGTAGATAAATTTAGACTCATGAAAATGACTTTATGCATACATTTATAATAAAAGAATAAAGCACAAGGGGGGGCTTATTTTAGAAAGAAAATAAATCTGCTTTTCAAGAATTTTGAAGAGAATCTTAAAGGATTCTCACTGAACAAAGCTTGTTACTAATAATAATGAACACACTTAGCAAAATGCAGTAAAATGAAGGACTTGCAAGGTCACAAAACTGTCAACTATATAGGAAAAGTTAAGTCATATTAACATTGAAGTGAATAAATACAAGGCATTTTTGCTGGTCGGCAACCAAGAACAAGATGCCGTATGGGTACTTGAATGAACAGAGACACGCAAGATGTGAATTACACTAAAGATGCCCACACAGCATAAGAAAAGAAGCAAAGTAAACACAATAAATATTAAACGACTACAGTTATTTTTAAAATTCCCAACCATTATGACTGCTGGTCACTGAATAAATACTAATTTATTAGATCAGGGAATAAATACTAAATTAATTGTGCTACCAATAATTACTTTTATTTTATTTTATTTATTTATTATTATTTTTTAAGATGGGGTTTCACCATGTTGGTCAGGCTGGTCTTGAACTCCCGACCTTGGGTGATTCGCCTGCCTTGGCCTCCAAAGTAGTTGGATTACAGGCGTGAGCCACCGTGCCCAGCCTATTTTATTTTATTTTTTGAGACCAAGTCTCGCTCTGTCACCCAGGCTTGTGTGTAGTGGTGCGATCTTGGGTCACAGCAACCTCCGCCTCCCAGGTTCAAGCGATCCTCCTGCCTCAGCCTCCTGAATAGCTGAGATTACAGGCATGGACCACCAGGCCCAGCTAATTTTTGTATTTTTAGGAGAGAAAGGTTTTCACCATGTGGGCCAGCAGGTCTCAAAATCTTGACCACAGGTGATCCTCCCACCTTGGCCTCTTAGAGTGCTGGGATTACAGGCATGAGCCAACACGCCCGTCCCCAGTAATTGCTTTTAGAATTCCAATAATAGATATGGCTAGAAAAGATTTTTTGAAATTAGCAAAATTTAAGCAGAGTCTTGAGTAAGGTATAGAATTTGATTATGGGAAGAAGAATCTTGGAGGGTGAAATGGCAAGAGGAAAACGCAGGTGGGATCAGGAGGAGAACATGAGTAGCTATTGGCTGCAAACTGGAACTTCTTTGGATTAGTGGGTGTGTGATTAGAAATAAGATTGAAAGGCCAGGCGTGGTGGCTCAAGCCTGTAATCCCAGCACTTTGGGAGGCTGAGGCGGGTGGATCAGGAGGTCAAGAGATTGAGACCATCCTGGTCAACTCAACATGGTGAAACCCCGTCTCTACTAAAAAATACAAAAAATTAGCTGGGCATGGTGGTGCGTGCCTGTAATCCCAGGTACTCAGGAGGCTGAGGCAGGAGAATTGCCTGAACCCAGGAGGCGGAGGTTGCGGTGAGCCGAGATCACACCATTGCACTCCAGCCTGGGTAACAAGAGCGAAACTCTGTCTC